ATCCAATCTTTTGGGCATCATGCTAAGCTGGGTCATCTCCCCCCTCGTCGCGGGCGCCTTTTCTGGGATCATCTACGCCATCACTCGGGCTTATGTCTTGCGGGCTGACCCGGATCAAGCTATCCGCCGCCAGCGCCTCTTCGTCGCCCTGCTCATTAGCATTATCCTTGCCGTCACCATTGTCTTTGTTTGCATTCGCTCTCCGTGGCCCAGCGAGGATTTTCGCCTAGCCGGCACCATCCTCTTCTCGACCATGCTTCCCTTGGCCGTGGGTGTCGTTGCCTATTATTGGCTCTTGCCGCGCGTGTTCCACAACTACGCGCCCTCCTACATTGACGTCAAGACACCCTTGGTACACGCCGAGCAGCATCACCCCCGTCGCCGTGAACGCTCGTCGGACACACGTCTTGTCATACGCAGCACCAGCTCGTCAGAGCGCTTTGCTTCCACCAACTCCATGGCCGAGTCAGCTGCTGATGCTTCAGAAATGGCGCCTGTAGAGAACGAGGTATGTGGCCCACGGCCATGCCCCACCCCGGTGGCCGCAAACATGGCTTCTCACACCCGAACCTCCGATCCATGTCAACCTATTTTGGGGGTGCTAGCTGGCTCTTTCCGAGGAAACGGCCGATCTTCATGCATATGCTGACCAGTATAGCGGACTGATTGAGGCCAACTTTGAGCTCCTCCAAGTCTTGAGCGCATCCTACCTGGCCTTTAGCCACGGCGCGCAAGATGTGTCCAACGGTGCGCACTCGCATGCACCCTGCCTGCCGCCTTGATCGTGATGTTCCCCAATGGCACTGCGCTCATGCCTTGCTCTTTTATCCCATCTATCGATCCATCCTTTCGTTGATGACTTGGATCTCAAAATAATGGACTTTGGCGCTGCCCATCCCTTGATAGCCATTGGACCGGTGACGGCCATCCTGGACGTGTATCGCGGGGGCTCGGTGGAAGTGGATATCACACCGCCCATTTGGCTAATGGCGCTCGGAGGCGCGGGTATCTGCACGGGCTTGTTCTTTTTTGGCCACTACGTGATGTCCACCTTGGGCGGCAATTTGACCAAGATCACGCCCTCGCGTGGGTTCTCTGTCGAGCTGGGCACGGGGCTGGCCGTGCTTCTGGCTAGTTTTCTCAAGCTTCCCATCTCCTCGACCCACTGTGCCGTCGGTGCGGTTGTAGCTGTTGGCTTGCTGAATCGACAAGGAACCAAGGCCGTATCATGGTCGTTGCTGTGGAAGGTGGTAGGCTCCTGGATTGTCACCCTGCCTACGGCAGGACTTTTGTCAGCCGGGTTTTATGCCGCTCTGCGACCTGTGGTAGCTGCCGTAGAATTGGGGCCTGCCGAAATGTTGCTGCGCTGTTTTGGCAACTGTTCAGCCCTGCTTGATACGTATGCGTAGGAGCTGCGCGTGTCGTCTTGTGCATGCGTGGTCATTTCGCAGAGACGTTGGCGCGCGTTTTACCTGCACGCCCACCAGCTGTTAATTATAGTGCGGCATCGTCTGAAATAGGAGGCACGGCGCGCGTCAAGCTTTGCGGGGCTTTGGCCACGCAGATGCTCTTGTTGTTGACTGCCCCTGCATTTTCTTTAACCCATTGTAGTGTGATGATTTTGAGTCGTCCTTGAGTCTGTTTAGCCATTTAATAATCGAGCGTGAAATGATGATTTGACATGAACCACCGAGCCACCGAGATGTCAACTGAGAGCGCCATAACCTGCAAGCGTTGCAAGGTATTTATCGATTTCAGTTATCATCAGGAGAGACACAACGCAATAGTGACCTTCGCTAGCAACCATTGGCTAGGGGAAAAAAGAAACTGCCACGGCATGTCTCTGCAGCGGGGTCCAAAAAAAAAAAAGGACCCACATGCACACAAAGGAGAAATGAAAGTCCACACGCGAGTGAGTAAGATCTGAGAGGCAAGAGGCAAGCCTCGCCTCGTCCGGTGACAAACGGCCATGACATTAGGCGAAAGCATCTTGATCATTGGCGCCACTGTTACGGATGAGCAGCTCCTTGTCCCCTACGCCTCCAAAGGCGTCGTCCTGTGCTGTAGTGTGAGACGGCGGGACCTTGTGCTGCTGGCTCTGGCTGAACGTGTAGAGGCGAAAGAGAATCGCGAGCGAACCGGCCATGATCATGAACCAGACGGAGGCGTTGTCTGGCTGCTGCGCACGATGTGACCAAATGCTGGAGAGTAGAGCAAGGGGTGCGGCTACGCAAACGCAGTAGACAGTCTCGCGATAGTCACCAAGGCGGCGAGCAGCCACGATGCGCCGGCGAGTCGGAGAATCGTCGTTGTGCCAAGTGTCCCAGACCGCTCCCAGATACACTCGGTGAAAGGTACCAAGGGCCAGCCATTGCCAGCGGGCGATGAGTTGGCCCAAGGTCTGGCGTTCGGGGCCTTGGCCGCAGCAGAGTTTGTAGCTCTCAAACAAGACGAGTAAGACGGTGAGAAGTACGTGTCCAAAGGTCAGGAAGATGGCGGCGCAGCTAAAGACAATGTAGGCAAAGAAGAGACTATCAAAGCTGCTTGTCGAGCTGAACAGCGAGCCCTGGGACTCGCAGGTGGCTGTGTGTTTGTTGAAGCTGCAAAAGCCAGGCTCGACGAGGGCGCACTGCTCGGCGGTCGTGTACTTGCTGCAGTGAAAGTACGTCTGGTGTGCGTTGAGGAAGATGAGGTTGGACAAATGGCCCACGGCCCCCAAACTGACGGTCAGCTCAAGGAGAGCCGCGGTGAGCCAGCCGGTGCGCTCGGATGACCATGTTCCCGGTGTGGTAGCGGGAAGTGTGCTATCAGCGGCAGCATAAGCATCACCCGAGGCTCCCAGACCGACCTCATCCCGGTCATCATGAACGACGAGACCATCGTGGTCCACGATCTGGGCATAGTAGCCACGGCGAGCACGACGGAAACAGAGGAGGAGCAGAAACAGGAGAGCAAACAGCATCAGAAGCTCAAAGGCCAGAATGTCGAACAGGGAGGCTATTTGGCGTGACCCGCAGCCACCCGAAGACGACGTGTTGCGAATGTCGGTCCCTTGGTGCTCAGTGCAGGTCCATTCGTAATCGGAGGGCCCGTCCCAGCTACATGCGCTGTTGGATAAGCAGTAAGACTCGCAGGTTTGCCGCAGACTTGAGTGACAGTCGGCCCGATCCACGCGCTCGTGATCCTGGGCAAACTCCGTCACGAAGCAGGCCACGGTCAACATGGCCACCAAGGCCAGCACAAATTCAGCGGCAGCCATGCCGAACAAGTTTTCCACACTACCACCACCACCACCACCACCAAGCCCGATCCAGCAATCACTCTATGGGCCTGAACAGGGTTTCCCGACGAAAGCATGAGAGACAGGCGAGACAGCCGCACAAGCACAAGCACCAGCACAGGACGACCAAGCCGCCAAAGCCAAGAGAAGGGTGCCTACCTGGCAAAACCCCTGTGCTCCGTCTGACCAGCGGGTTTTAAGAAGGACTGCGGTGTGAGGTCTGTCGCACCGATCGACCGCGCTATTCACCTCGTTGTCGCGTCACGTCGCTGCCGTCGGCTGACATCAACCAACACCTTCAGAGATGCGCTGCAGCTTGATAAAATACCCAAGCTAAAACCCAAGCCAAATCAAGAGATGGCTCCCATCACAAGCCAAGTGTTAAAAGACTCTCTCTCTCTCTTCGCCACTTGCTGCAAGCGCACAGAGAGACAGAGAGAGAGCGAGAGAGACAGAGAGACAGAGACAGAGACAGAGAGAGACAGCAAAGGGAGAGATGAAAGCAGAGCGAGACAGAGACAGAGACAGAGACAGAGAGACGGACAGAGACACAAGAGGTGTTGTGTGTGTGTGAGAAGAAGTTGAATGCCACGAAATGTCAGATCAGTCACACCCCCTTCATTTTTAAATTAGGTCACTGCTTTCGCTTTCAGGGTTTACTTGGCAACCTCTCTCGAGCACAAACACGGCACACAAGGCGCGCTCGGACGGCAGCGGCGGCGAGAACAAACACGCTGATACGCCGTGAGTCTTTCCGGCAAGTCATATCGGCGCGGGTATGAAAGAAAATTTGGGGCTGGTTCCTTTTATGACTCTGGCCTCACCAGAGACAACGGATGTGTATCTCAGACTTCTTCTTGAGCTGTTTGGTTGGTTGAGCCGTCGTCGAGTGCCTTGAGGTCATACCGCCTCTGCCCACAACGACAGTGCCCTTTTTCGCTTGTCCGTACGCCCCTCGCACATGCTTGCCTCGCACGCCACTTGAAAAGCCGTGCACAATCCATGTTAAAAAGGGCCCAAGAGGGATAACCCCGCTGGTTGGTGTGGCACCTTGCCTCACCGCCTCGTCTTGGCATCAGGTGCGATCCAGCACCATGACAGACTCATCAGAGACGGTCCGGTATTTTACGCCGGCCGAGGTGGCGGCTCACAATTGCGAAGCCGACATCTGGGTATCGTTCTTGGGCAAGGTCTTGGATTTGACCAAGCTCGTGCGCGAGCACCAAGGCAATCTACTTCTCAAGCCCCTCCTTCTCTGCGCTGGCAAGGACATTTCCCACTGGTTTGACCCCAAAACCGGCAACGTGCGTCCCTGCAGATACTGGCCTCTGGCCGGTTTTGTTTTAAGAAACGCTTCAGCATCCTTCCGCGTGTCTGACCCTTGCGTCCTCACTCGGGCTCCTTTTTCTTTTTTCTTTTCTTTTTTTTCTGTCTCCCTCAACCTTTTATTTTTTATTTTTTTTGGTCGTTGTTGTTGTTATTGTTGTTTTTCCTGACTCTTTTTGGATCGGTTTAGATGCGGACGCACATTGATCCGATCACGGGTCTTGAACTGCCGTTCACACCCCATGGACGTGTTCTGGACGTGCCCCCAGCCTGCCCGTCTTCGCGTTGGGCCACAAACTTTGGCACGCCCTGGTGGCGGGACGATGATCATGTTGTGGGCCGACTGTCTGAACGCACCCGGCTCATCAAGGTCACCAACATGCTCACCAAGGAATCTCAAACCATCGAGGTGCGTCTGTGTCCATGCAATCTGCTGGCCCTGCCTACCCACTTCCAGAGACTCGCCCTTCGACGCCGGCTAGCTAGCGCGTTCCAGGCAACCCTCACGACGCGGCGCGAGGGCCATCACTCCACAGGTGTGCAACGAAGAGCCGCTGCGACAAATTCAACAGCGGTATCAAACCTACAATTCCCACTCACGCTCCTATACATGGAAGCACCTCACCAAGGTGCTAGACATGAACCTGACCCTCGCGGAGAATGGGGTTGAGGAACTTGCAGACGAATTTGACCGATTGCACATTGACCGCAATGAGTTTATTCCTGAGCTACAGATCTATTACAACGACGATCTCCTTCCTTCGGCATAACATGCCTCCACTCAGCCTTGGCGCGCCAACGCGCCAGCTCCCTTCCCTCCCCGTTTTCGCCCCTCTCGTGTGTGTTTGCCCTCTGTCCAAGCTCGCCCATCAATTTTATCTGACAAATAGCAATTGTCAGCACGATCCCGATAATCTGTATTGGTTCAAGGGTAATAAACATTGCTAAACTGATAGCCAAAACCACGAGCATCGTCTCGTGCACTTTTTCTTCTTCGGCTGCTTGAAGAGAAATGGCGGTCGCTCTGAGCTTCACCGACGGCTATGCCGCCATGGCCGTGGCCAAGGTAAATGCAGCGCTGCCCTGTATTTGTTCAAAGTCTTCTCGTAATGCACAAATGATTGAAAGGGATCATGGGGAAGAGCAAAGGATGATCATACCCAGCATCACGAGCACACGTGGGTCTGCCTCGACTGACTGGTGCAAATGGCAGCCGACCCGGCTTCCTATCAGACTGCACTCACTCTTTCCCCGTATGCTTCTTTGCACCTGAATTTCCTGGATCTGTTCCAGGACGGCCGCCTCGAGGTCGTGGCCAACGAGAGCGGCGAGCGCACTACGCCCGCCCTCGTGTCCTACACCTCTGACGAGACGGTAGGTGTCTTTGGGATTGGAACTAGCCGCCTCAGCCTTCGGATCTGCGTGGGCCATTCAAGCTTTGAAAGAATTCAATAGTGACCTCTCATGCAGCACGCTCTGTTTGCAACGTGCGTTGCCTTTCCTTAGTTGGCAGGCTACGCCGCGCGCCAGAGCGTTGTGCGTAACGTCCGCGCGACTGTTGGCAACTTTTTCCAGTACCTCGGTCGCAAGTCAGTGTTACCTCCCCGGGCCCATGCCCTGGCATCACGGTCAAGATCTCTCTTCCTTTCATTACTTTTGCGCCTTCTGACCCTGATCGCTGCCCACAGGTACAGCGACGAGGATGTCAAACAACGGCTGTCCAAAAACACTTTTGCTCGCGCTCAGTCGGGCAAGGGTGATTCCGTGTCCTTTGTCGTGCCTCGCGGCGATCAACCAGAGCTCAACGTGTCCGTGCCCCAGGCGCTTGAGCAGCTCTGCCTCACAATGCGCAAATCAGTGACCTCGTACCTCGGCTCGACCCCCTGGCAGTACACTGCCGTGACCTGCCCCTCACACTTTTCGTCTGAACAGCGCAGCCTTCTCGTGTATGTCCTTTGGTGCTGTTCTCCCCCCCCCCTCACCCTGGTAGCATCAGCCTCTTCACGACTCACCCTCTTCTGCGTACTGACTCACCCTCTTCTGCGTGCCTATTCAGGGAGGTGTGCCGTAAAGCAGGCATTTCTGTCAGTCGTCTAGTGTCCGAGTCGACCGCCGCACTGGTGGCTTATGGTCTGCACAACCACCACGTTCACGATCATCACATTCAACGCCACGCAGCTCGACAAACCTTTGTCGTTGTGAAGATGGATGCCACAGAGGTGAGCTTGCAGACCCTTGTCCTTGTCCTTGTCCTTGTCCTTGTCCTTTTTCCTTTTTTTTTCTTTGTGTATCAGGGCCCTCTGTTGGCCTTGGCATGGGAGACTATACTTGCTGCACGAATAAGTACCCCGTGCGGTCTGGTAATACACCCATGCAACAACAACCTTGCCAGCCGTGGTATATCCATGACGTATCTTGTTTCTAGTGCGAGATTCGCGTAAACGCCACGGCACACTCCCGTCCTTCCAGCCTTTTCGTGCCATCATCTTGTTTTCTTTTCTTTTTGTCCGTGTGTTTTTCGTTCATCTATCAAGGACATTTCCGCGACATAGCGTGGCTGCACTCCCGCCCCTCTCTCATCGGTGTTTGCGGCTCCTGTGATGCCCTTGTTTTTTTTCTCTGCGTCTCTTTCTACCCTATGTATAATGGGTAGACGACCGTCGATGTGCTCGAGTCAGACCAAGGTCTGCTGCGGCTTGTTCAGTCCCGGCAATCGTGCCGAGTAAGTTTTTTGTGGGGTTTCTTTCCTTTGTCTGGTCCCTCAGTTTGAACCGGCCGTAAGTCATGACTCATCTCATGTGGGTTTGTGACGTTTTCTTCTCTTCTTCGTTTTGTTAGGTCACCACTGGTCATCTTGATGCCGTGATGGTGGATATTCTGATCAAGGAGTTCCAGCGCAAGGTCAAGGCCGACCTGTCAGAGGACCGCCGTGCCATGATGAAGCTGCGCCTGGCTGCAGCGCGTGCGCGCAAGACGCTTGCCAAGCAGCCCACGGCTACCGTTTCGATCGACGGCCTTTACGAGGGTATTGATTTGAACTGCACCGTGGCCGAGGCCAAGTTTAATGCGCTTACCACTGACGTGCTCCGAGGTTGGTCGTGGCTAGCCGCATTGGGACCGCTTGCCGTGTTCCTGCTTCTGTTTTGCCTTCGATTCTGTGCTTCGTGTCCCGGCCTTGCTCAACTCGTCCGTGCACCATGTCCAGATGTCACTGAAATGGTGGAACAGACTTTGCAAGATTGTGAAAAGGCCGCCGATGACGTCAATGTGGTAGGTTACGAGTGTTGCGAGCAGCTCGTTTCTTTTTCGCAGCAGCCTGGTGCCCGCGATAGCTCATACTGGGTTTGCATTGCTTGCTTGTTGTTTCAGTGTGTCTTGGCTGGCGCGGGTGCGGACAGTAAAAAGCTGAAGAGCGCCCTCACCTCCATGTTTGGCGAGGATTCTGTTTTGAATCATATTCCCGGCGACGAGGTCTTTGCTCTGGGCGCCTGCAAGCATGCTGATCATGCGCAGACGTCGGAGGAGGCATCGGAATCGACTCAGAACCGCGTGCGACGAGGAGCTGTTGGCCGCGATGTTGGCGTTGAAATGGCAGATGGGTCCTTCAAGGTGCTCGTCCCCCGCAACACCCCGCTGCCCTTTGGCTACAAAACCTCGTTTGCCCTTCCCGCTGGACAGACGTCTTGTGCCGTGGTAAGTCGTTCACATCGCATGCCGATACAACCCTCCGCCTTGTTTCAATCCTGGGTCCAGGTTCTCACCCTACACTGGTCCTTGTTTGGGTCTATGCTGTTGATAGCACTTGGCGCAAAAGGAGGGTGAGGTACAACGGTTGGCAACGCTCCAGCTCCGCGAGTTGAAACAGAGCCGCGCCACCCTCTCCCTCGTGTTTGACGATGAAGGCAGCTGTGTTGCCCGTTTGTCCTCGGATGATGTCACGCCCGTGAGCGCGACCATTGACTCTGCGTAAGGCAGTGTGTGTGTGTCCTGACTCGGCTGCGTGACCCTGTTGGTGGGATCACTTGTTTTGCCATATACTGTGTCTGCCATCGTGCCACTACTACCCCCCTTTTTTTTGCTGTTCTCTTTTCCCTGTTTTGCTTTGCTTTTGCGAGAAGGAAGCAAACTTGCCAATTTAAATAGGAAAAAAAAAAGACCAAAGACCAAAGACCTTTTCAAATCGCACATTTTGTTCGATTCCTGTTTTTCTTCTTGTTGTACATCAAGCTTTCTACGTCTCTCCTCGTGAGGCTAAATATGCTTCGTGCCGTGGGATGGATCGGCAATGATATCCCACACAATCAACGGTCGTATCCGTGCCAAATGACAGGGCGACTCGACCTGGCTTGTGCAACGTGGCACAAGCCAGGCTGATGGAAGTTTGTGACCAAGTTGTTCAGATCGAGTGGAAACTGCGATCAAGCAAAGCGCTGAGCACCAACTTGGCCAGCATCTTGCAATCGAAGGGGCTGTGTCATGGGCATGGCAGGCAGAAGTCAAGAGGGAGTGCGGGGGGCGCGCCACAGTAGCGGGCAGATTGGCGGTGCGTGGCGAACGTACGTCCTCTGATGCCTTGATGTAGGAAATGGCTGGTTCTCGCAGGTTGGCGGCCTCGATCACCTTGGTGCTGTGCTCACAGCGGACCACGGTGGCATTGCTCTTCAACACCCTGGTCGGCGAGAAAACAACGCAAGGCGGGATCAATCATGTCAGGGCAGCATGCCGACCAGCAATGCACTGGATGTGGGCCACGAGATGTTAGCCTACCGAAGCTGCTCGAGCTGCGCGGCATGACAATGGATGTTATCACAAGCCACAATTTCGATGAGCGATCCCGTCAGGGCTTCAATGTCCACGTTGTGAGAGTCGACCAGAATCAGTGAACATCCAGCCGATGTCCGATCAAGAACAACTGAAGCAAGAGTCCGTTGCCGCGGATGCGTGCGGGAGAGATTGGAAAGCCACAGACTGGATGAGTTGGCGCGTGCATGCAAAAATTGATACGGACCTGGCTGGGGGCGGAGACATACCAGAGCCCCCCTCGATGTGATCGAGGACGAAATTAACATGGGTGTCATTGCCGCGCAGCTGAGACGGGCAAGATCCGGCAGCTGAATCAATGACGCGAGCGCATGCCCAGGAGCAGCAAGGCACGAGCCTGCTTACCAGAAAGTGACAGTCTGTACAGTTACGGGCGTAGATGGTCGAGGCAGCCTCTGTCCCATCCAACGTCACCGTCGTCCCCGACAAGTCCCTCACCTCGGCCGCCATCGTGCCCACCGTCGTTCAATCGCCTCCGCCTCCGCCCCCCCAAATCAGCTGTGCCTGTGCGTGCCTCGGTGCCTCTGTGTGTGTGTCTCTGTGTGTGCCTGTGTAACCCTGTCTGTCCGTGTCTCTCTGTGTGCGCCTGTCTCTCTGTGTCTCTGTGTGCGCCTAAGTGCACCTGTGCCTGTCCGTGTGTCCGTGTGTGTGTGTGTGTGTGTGTGATCAGGCGCAACGGACCAAAATGACGACGAACACGACGAAACGAATAAAAAAAAAAAAAAATCAGAAAAAAAACTGACATGTCACTTTAATTTCGAGGGGTATAAATTACTTTACATTCACGCCCACACACACACACGGACGGATCGATCATCATGTCGTTGCCGGAGGACATCTATGGCGGTGGACCACAGGATACGCTGGTCCGCTACTGGCTGTCGACGACGATTACCCGAGATATGGTAGGCGTGGTTTTGGGGGGGCGGGTGAGGGGGCGGGGGGCAAAGTCTAACCCTTTACAGGGGGGGATGCACCGCTTGGGGTTTTGAAAGGATGCCCACCCAGCTCATACGAGGCGGCTCGCTGGAACCCCTTTAGGCCGAAATCAGCCTCTGCACACCCCGTCTCGCGGATCCAGGTAGGTACAGGGCAGCATGCCAATGCCTGCGCGCGTGCTGGGCACCAGGCGTGGCCAGTAGCTTGATCGCCATGGGCGCACCCCTACGCCTGATGATCATGCTTGATTGAGGGAGTTTCCCAAGACTCGACCTGCTGACCTGAGCTCGGCCTCACGCACATGTTTGAATGGGGCCTGGGGGTTGGATCTTAGGCTCCTTCATCTTGCGCCGCTCTACCACAAGCTCTGGCAACTACGCCATCTCTGTCATGGAAAAGGATGGCCAGATCCGCCACTATCAAGTCACAGATCTCGGCATGGGTCAGGTTCGTTGTCTTCAGGATCGACATGACTGGGCAGAGGCAGGGCAGGCATCTCGCAGACCCGGCCCAATCCAGCTTGCGCCCTTGTCCCACCCCCATTCCGGGGCTCAATCTAACTACATATCCCGCAATGAATGCGTACACGCCGTACTGATTAGGTTGGTCTGGTGACGGGACAAGCTTTTGACAATCTAGGTGCGGCAATGACTTAATTGCAGGCCTTGCCACCGCCTGAAAGAGTCGCGCCCTCATGTGCACTGCTTCGGTTCTGGCGTAGAGGAGCTTCTGCTTTTTTTCTACGAGCAGCCCTTCCCGGATGGCGTTGGCCCCCGTACCCCCTTGACCATCATGTCCGTACCACGTCCACACGAGCCCCACGACGGCCGTGCACCTTCATTCACACTCCCTCACCTTGCTGGATTTGCACGTTTCCTGACAACTTATTGAGCGTAGGCACCAAGATCTAGTCGGCGTCGAGTTGGGATTTGAAGAGTACGAGCAAATGGTGGCACCCATGGTACGTGAGCCGCTTCGATCACTCCTTCTCGTGGTCAGCCTCCCTCGGCCCGCTTGATCTCACCTGCCCACACGCTTCTCCTAGCGCGAACAAGCCGACGTGTATGGCGACGCAGCATGCTGACATGCCGGAGTGCTTGCCGGTTTTCAGAGCCTTTGCGTTGATCATTCCTCAGCGTTGTGTGTTTTATCTCGTGTACTTTCGCCGATTGTGTAAGCCGTCCCGTTTGCCGGAATATTCGTGTTCCAACCTCTTGCCAGTGACACACAGCCTCAGACGCTCCTTTCCATCCCGCCCCGCTTCTCGCCGCTTCTTCCGAAGCAACGAGGCTCTCTCACTTTGGACTGCTTTGCGCTGAAGGAAAATCGTCACTCCCCTTTGTTCTCGCCCGCCTGCTCAGGCGTGTTGGCCCATTGGCTTCTTGCCTTTGTCGCTTGACCCTACAATTCAACACCGTCTTCAATGACAACCAATCAACTTTCTGCATCCCCGACCGATTGTTCCCCGTTCACCCAAAGGTGCTGCATCCATCACAGCGACTTTTCAACTGTCCTTTATGGTGTTGGCGCTCGGTCGTGAACCATCATGTGTCTGTGTCGCTGTGTCTCTGTGTCTGTGCCTGTGGCTGTTTCAGGTGGAGTTTGGTTTTTTTGTTTTTTTGTTTTTTTAGGCTAAATTTCTGTCAAGCTGGAATGTGCCAAGCGTGCACGACTTTCTCATTCGAAGGCCGCCTAAAGGAACCAATATACTATATAAAAACAAGGGGGGGGGGGGGTGGGGGGGACACAGCCATTATGCCTGAGGCAGGCCCAATGACCACAAGTGGACCTCAGACGGGGTCCACAACGCACACTTCCTGCATGTCGGCAAGTACAGTGTGCATGCCACGCGCGCCAAGCTGGATAGGTGGGTCCACAAACAAGACCAAACCGCTACAGGCCCGATGATTGACTCGTCAAACAAAGCGTGGCAAGGAACCCCACCCAATTTTCTCACAAATCATGTCAAGAAAAGACAAAGCTGCATCCGCAGAAACACAAACGAGACCATTATTGGACAAGCCCGATAACGACGCCATTACGAGCACACATGCGTTCATTCTCTGCGGATCCAAACACAAGCCAACAAAACAAACCGTGTAAAAAAAACATCAAAAAATACGGAGAAGAACGACGCCGCGCAATCGTGCAATCAGCAGGATGCAGCAGTGTGTCATAAATGCGTAGCCCCAAGAAAAAATAGGAGGGGCGCGATGCAGTCAAGCACCATGGCACTCGCATCGAAATGGACATAGAAATGAAAAAGCAAAAAAAAACAAGTGAAACAAGCACGGAAACGAACACAGTGGCACCGAGGGGGCGCACGTGCGTCCAGTTGGGCGAGCCAAGTCTGTCCTGAGAGCAAGGACTACAAGCCCAACGTGACCACGGCAGCCCTCACCAACGATCCACAAGCACTCACAAAGAAAAAAAAAAGTAAAACGAGCACAAGACGGGAACAAAGGACAACAGGTGGCAAGGGCATCAAGCATAAAGCCCTAGCCGTGATGCCCCCGCTATCTCCAGCAGCCCAAGCCGGCCACGAAGCAGAACAAGCCACCAAGGGAGCAGGAAGCCAATCACCATGTCGGCTTACACGTCGTTGAGCTCGAGCTGCAACAGAGCGCGCTTGAATTGGATGGGTGTCTTGGGCATGCCAGTGCTGTTGGGATTGGGATCACTGGGAGACATGAAGGCGCTGGGGCCCGCACGCAGGTAGGTTGGAGTAGAAAGGCTAAGCATGGACTTTGGCGACATGACCTTGCTGGGCGAGTCAAAGCCAGAGGCACCGCGAATCAGCGGGGACCAGCTGAGACGAGGGGACGGAGGATAGGACGGGCTGAGCATGCGACGGCCGCGCACGGGCGACAAAGGAAAATTCGCAAAGGTTGACGTGCTCAGGCTGTTCAAACCGCCCGCCAGTTGATACTGATCGTCGGATTCACAGCTAACGGAGATGAGATGGGTGTTGGGCGTCTCCTCGTTATGAGCATGATCGCCTAGGCGCAGATCATCATTGCCCGCCGGATTCCGGACGGGCGTATGCAGGACAAACGCGTTCTCATCTTCCTCATCCTCAAATTCAGGCGTGTCCTCGGGGCCAGCCATGGCGGCCTGCACCTCGGCTAGCGATTGTTCCGGATCGTCATAGCTGGCTGCGGCTTCTGGTGATCCCGTCAGAACAACATCCACGTCGTAGGAAGACGATGCAGCCGACGAGATGGAGGATGCCTTGTGTGCGCGCTTGGACACTGGCTCGGGTGACCCCAGGCCATCCAAGAGGGAGGGATCGAAGAGAAGCGTCGAGGGGAAAGCCAGTGCGGGTGCCGGCATGGTGATCAAAGTGGATGGCACAGCCGCTGCCGTGCTCGAGTTGGAGGGTGATGCAGCAGGCACTTCAACGTTGGTTGAGTTATCAAGTCGGCTTCGAGCCGAGTTGCGACGTTTGGCTGAGGGATGGCCGGCATTGGCCAAGAGCGAGGTGGAGGCCTCTGGCGATTGTGCGGCAAGATTGGATCGGTTGACGCCTTGGCGGCCCGACGCGGGCGCCAGACGCTCGCCCATATCAGCACCGTCCCGCAGAGAAGACTTGATGGACTTGACCTTTTTCGTCTTCATCGAGTTCCAAAAGTTTTTGCAGTGGTTATCCGTGCGGCCGGGCAAGAGCTTGGAGATTTCCGCCCATCGATTGCCGAGGCGGGCGTGAGCATCAATCAGGGTGCGCTTCTCGTCTTCAGACCAAGGCCCACGCTTGAGGTGGGGAGCAAGCGCGTTGTGCCAGCGCTCGCGGCATTGCTTGCCGATCCGACCCTTGAGATGCTGCGCAATCTTGGTCCAATTGCAAGGGCCGTATTTGTTGACGAGATTGATCACAAGATCGTCCTCCTGGCGAATGAGGGAGAAAGTGGTGATCGGAAAAGCGTGAGCTGAAGAATACAATCAGGGCTTAACCGGGGCAGGGACTGGCTGCGAGAAAAAAAAAAAAAAGCATAAGAAGGACGAACCTCTTGCGTCCAAGCGCCCTTGATGAGAGTGGGGTCCAGCATGTTTTTCCAGCGAGCGGCACAGTGGGAGGCGTCGCGCCCGGGCATGTTTTGGGCAATTGCCAACCAGAAGTGATCATCATCAATGGAAAGGGTTGTCTTGGCTTGGCGCTGTTGAACGAGGTCGCGCAGACGGCGATCTTCATCAGAACCCCAGCGAAGGGTGGTTGTTTTCTTCTTGCGGGGTTTGCGAGGCTTTTTGGGGCGCGATTGCGCTGTCGCCTGTGGAACGGAAATGTGCAGCTCGCAGGGCTCGCCGTTTTGGTCAGTGGAGGGCACAACGTGGTCGCGGTAGTACACGTTGGTCGCGGGCGAGCTGTCTGACGCATTGATATGACGGGTGGGGGTCTGTTCGGGCGAGCTTGGATGGGATGACTGCATGAGGGAGGCCTCTATTTCACGGCTGAACGCGGCCAGGCGCTCGGCGTTGTCAAAATCAAGGCCGGCCCGTTTGCCCGGATACACGACAACGTGGTTGTTGTCCATGGTGCTGAAACGGGGCGCCGGCTTGACACAGGCGATGGGCGCACGACGAAAGGGAGAGCGCGGGTGTCCAAGCTGAATGGGGGGCAAAGCCGTTGAAGCCAGGGGTGAGGGTTCCGGAAAGCAACTCGAGAGCGCATTTTGTTGAGCCATGATGCGGATTGTGTCGATCAGGCAAGACGCCCAAGTGCGTGATGATGAAATAGAGCCGTGTGTTTGTGTGCGAGTGTGATTGTGTGTGTGCGCGCCTGCAGGCAGCAGGAGGAAAAGAGCCAAGATGCAAATGTTCACAATGTCATGTCAAGAAAAATAAGGTTGTATCGGGCCGAAATCGGGCGTGGAACGAGCTCGAGGTCTTGCAGTGGCCAGCGGCGCATCGAATGTGCCATGCATGTGTGATGATGATGATGATAATGATGGTAAACCTCGCAGGGCAGTGTAAACGGTGGTGGTGGTGGTGGACCTTTTTTTTTCAAGGTGAGTAAAAATTACAATGTAAAAAAAAAAAACGAGAAAAGGGCGCGAGCACCGAGTTGGGTATGGTGGTGGAGCAAAGAGGATGGGACAGGCATCGGGTTGAATGCAGAGTTGCCGCTTTGGGTTGGTGGATGACAAGGCAAAGACACGGTGGATCGCTCGTGCGACCAGCGCGCGCACCAAACCACGCGAACAAAGAGGTGGACGCATGGCAAGATTGGATGTAACGCGCAGGGAAATCAATCAGCGCGTCGTTTGGACAGCAGGGCGGCTCATGTGATGGGCTTGGGGCCCGTTGCGAGGTGGGTCATGTTGCAGCAGGAGGCGTCTCTAGTGTGCAAGCATGGCCCAGCAGCCGCTTGGGCAGTCGAGGTGGCTCGGCGAGCGGAAGAGCCACGAGTCATGATGGGCAGTCGCCCGTGTAAATGTGTTGTAGAAGCAGTGGGCTTTGGCGGCGGGACTGGTGGTGGTGGTGGTGGTGGTGGTGGTGGTGATCAAAGGGTGGATCGAAAAAGAAGACGGGAGGACGAGCACGTACCTCGACGGCTTTGCGGGCAACGACTCTTGGAAAGGTGGGAGAAGAAGCAGAGCGGTATTTCGGTTGGCGTTGCCAAAAGAGCTCCCGGGTGGCGAGTCTGTCCGGGAACAAGAAAGGAATGGTGACGAGAGGTCGAGATTTCGGTCCGTCGGAATGCAGCCAGAGGAGGGACAAGCATTTAAAAAAAAAAAAAAAACAGGAAGCAAAGGCGAAGCGGAAAGAAATGGCGGGCAAAGCCAACCGAACAGCAAAGCAGATGGCCCTGACGAGCGCGGGGGAGGGGACCAGTGTCTGGCTGTGGTGGAACAAGTGGTTGAACTCAAAAGCTTACCTTGGGTCAGGACAAGAGCAAACGGGGATCAAGTGGCAGGGGAGTTGGGAAGGAACTGGTGGATGCGTCGGGAACTTGGTCAGGTCGTGGTCGTGGTGTTGGGTGGGGACAGGCCGGGAGCGGCTACTCTTGGCTGCAGCTGAGCAAAGAAAGGGTGTTGTTGATGACGGCAACTCCGAGGCGGGGGTGGCTGTGGGTGCTGCCTGACGTTTTGCAAAGCGGGAGCAGTACTGTCGTCGTGCCCTCCTCAGAAACAAAAAGTCCCAAACCGCGTGTGATGTGATGTGGCCGTGTTGGGGACGAAAATTTGATCGGCGGCGGTAAAGTTGGTCACCCTGGAGAGCAGGAGCGCAGCGCGAGCTTCCCTAGAGGTGGGGAGGAGGGCGCGTTGCTGGTCAGGTTGCGAGAGATCTCTATCAGTTTGAGAGCATTAATCCGGGCACTTAAAAAGAACGAGCGGACAAGACACGGCCCTTGAAAATCACCACGGCCATTGCTACGACGCGATCGGCGATCATGGACGATGAGAGGGCTGCCCGCGGCGTCGTACCTCGCTCGACGGGTTTGGGTTGCAGGGCGGGGGTGGGGTGGGGGTCGTGCGTGCACGCAGGAACAAGTGACAGGCGCGCGTCTTTGAAAACTTTTGCAGACGTGCCACGATGTGCAGCGAGTAAGCGTCGACCAAAAGCACCAAGGCCGATCGCCACACAAGGTCTCTCTCTCTCTCGAGCGCGCGTCGTGATGAATGAACGCTGGGAGGCACCGCCGCGACGCACGAAAGCACCACCACCTCGCAGGCAGACGGCTGATCTGGTTCGATCGCGCCGCGCACACACACACACACACACACACGAGAGTAAACGTCTCTCAGTTGTGGACAGCTTCTGGTTCATCCTCTTGTAGAGTCTGGTATTGGGATACACTTCTCTAAACTTGCTTTTGATTTAGCCTGTTGAACTCTTTCAATGTGAACGCACCTCTGAAGATGCATCACTGACATGAAGCTACCTCTTCAAAGTATGATGTATCTCTCTCTCTCTCTCTCTCTCTCTCTCTCTCTCTCTCTCTCTCTCTCTCTCTCTCTCTCTCTCTCTCTCTCTCTCTCTCTCTCTCTCTCTCTCTCTCTCTCTCTCTCTCTCTCTCTCTCTCTCTCTCTCTCTCTCGTGTTCGCGGTTTGGCAGCGCGCGCACGTCGCCGCGAGAGGGAGAGAGCGCGAGAGAGCGGGGAAAGGGAGCGGGTGGTGCGCAAACCGATGACCTATGGCGGAACGTATCGTGTGGACCGGGTCATGCTTCTGTGTAGCGCTTTGCCAGCAGACATGTAACGGTCGCGCGGCCGTTACATCGACCGTTACGCATACGGAATACCCTGACACTTCCTTTGGTACAAGGTAGACCAGAGCCGTGAGCGTCGCTGACGGTTTGAGATAACAAGCCCTTGTCCCTTGTCCGGGGCATAAGGAAGAGCGCTGCCAGCGCCGTCCGCTGCCACCGGGATCGCCCACAGACCCCAGCGCCCCTCTCCTACCCGCGCTGCCCTTTTGGCTCGTTTTCTTCTTTCTCTCTCTTTCTTTCTCTCTCTCTCTTTCTTTCTCTCTCTCTCTTTCTTTCTCTCTCTCTCTTTCTTTCTCTCTCTTTCTTTCTCTCTCTCTCTCTTTCTTTCCTCTCGATGTTGGGGGACGAGAAGAGAGTATAGATTTTAGGGGAGAAAACAAGTCTAAACTAATAGGGAACGACCTTACAGCTGTCAGCAGAAAGGCAGAATGTCAGAATGTCAGATAAAAGAGCGGCCAAGCGGTCCGACGAGTATAGGCGGTTCATCGACGTACCCGAGAAAGCCTGGCCCGCTCCATCGCCGCGGCACCAGCTCCACTGTCCGCGTCGTCGCACCCCGTCGGACCGTCACTCGCACCGTCTTCTACACTCCACAAAAGACAAGGTTTTTTGGGGGGGTCAGTCATCCCACAGCCCCCGCTCTCCCTCAGCTCACTCTGCGTCTGCCTCTGCCATCTCGCTTCAAGCGACGAACCTGGATCGAGCGCTGCACCACAGCAGCCAAGTCTTGTAATGAGCGGAAGTTTGCGCGCGTCAAGCTCCCGAATCGAACAATCTTGTCCCCTGGTAGCAAGCCCTAGTCGTGTTCCCACCACACACACACACACACACACACACACAAGCAGGGTCCAGCAAACGTGAGGGGAGGCAGTCATTCCTCTGACAAGAACCAGGAAACGCAGACAGCCTCGGCCTCGAGAGCCTGTGAGCCTCAAAAACACCCTCGTCCTGTCCAGTTCTTGATCCTCGAGCACCGCAGATTCGCCGCCCAGTCGAGCCACCACCTACCGCTTGGGCTGCCGGTGAGTCGCTGTCCACTCGCTCTACAAAGGCAAATGCCTCCAGCTCCGGCTCGGCGGAATCTGGCAAAGCCGCCGTTGTGGCTGCTGCTGCCTCATCATCGCTTGCAGCCACCGTGTCCTTGGTGTCGCGTGCCGCTGCATGTACGGCCGCGATTGCCCTCTCAATATCACCCATGACCGTTTTCAAATCCGTCTCCAAACCTATGACACCACCACCACCACCACCACGTCAGCAAAGTCAGCAAGAGCCCAGCCTTTCAGCCTGGCACCCATTTTCCGGCCACCCGCAGGTACATAAAGGCCATCTACGCACAGCGAATCGTGTGACGCAAGTGCCGTGCCCCATGCACGTCCACATCTGACCGCGGAAAGTCCTGCTCGTCAATCAAAGACTCCTCCATCGCCACGCCCAGCTGCGCTCCCGCCGCCGACAAGTCAGCTCAATCATGAGGCCTTTTCCGAGCAAACGCCCTCCGCCGTTCCCCACATGACCACAAACAACGACCACGATCTGCCGACCTGCGCCAGCTCCTCGCGAGCTGCTGCCATCTCCGCCTCGAGCTTATCCTTGCGCGCCAGCAGCGCCTTGGCCTCCTCCATCGGTGTCATGTTGACTGGGTATTAACAAGTAAAAAAAAAATTCAAAAAATAAAGAAACGTTGCGAATTTCTGGGTATTTTTCTGTGAATTTTTCCCTCTTTTTTCAATCTTTTTATTGACATCCCGGATGTTAATGTGCATTCTTTTCTAACAGCCGGGGCGGGCGGGTGACTTGAGTGTCTTGATCCGACGAGCCTTTTGGCTCTGCATTGACTTCCATTTATAAGAAGAATGCTGCCCTATCAAGTCGTGAACAATTGGGCACTGATATGGACCAGACATAATTAAACAGACGATTATCAAAAAAACAGGGTGGAACTATTCACGATGCATGATCTCCATGATTCAGTGCGGTTTGACGCTTTCAGGGCTCCGTAAAAATAACGAAAACCTCACGGCTGGCGTGCATCTTGTGCATGCATTCAAGGCTCGTGTCTGTGAGTGCAAATACAAACTTATGATCAATTTCAATTCATGTGAGGATAAGATGCAAGTCTGTCTTCGACTCGGTCGAAGTCCCTGTCCCAGCTTGACATTCTCAGGCGGGGCCCACACAGGCAAGAGGCGAGCGACAGTAGTTAGGAGGTGGCCACGAGCTGCGGAGCTAGTTGCAGGCAGGCCTCGCAAAGCTCGACCAAGCCAGGTGTCGCCTGAGGTGCCTCCACAATCAGTGTCTCATGCTCGAAAAACTCCACTCGGACCCCCTGGGCAACCACGGCATAATCCTTGATGCCTATCCGCTCCACCTCGGCATCAAAGATGTTGTGCTAGCGCGGGGGCCGGAAGCACATGAGAACATCTGGCTGCGAGCGTGTCCACATCAAGGCGAACAGAGAAAGAGAGCAGCGTCTGCACCGCTTTCAACTTACCAGACTAAGAGCCACCAGATATGCCTGTACGCTGGGGCGGCCCATGACGTCGCGCGTCTCAAAGCCGCCATCGGCTTGTGGGGCCACTTCTAGACCTCGACGCGTTTGCTGCAGCTGCGCGCCGAGTTGCTGATACTCGCTTCTGCCGAGGCGCAAGTTGGGCGCTACCAACTGAACATAGTTTCATCCGTCCGTGAGGCATCGTTTGCATCGTTTCAACGGAAAAGTCGCGGCTGACACGGCACAGCATCCCAGAGCCAGACGCGTCATCCCCACGAAACGCACCCGCGGATCAAGCAGAGCCAAGTTGACGGGTTCCGCCTTGGTCACCTCCACGGTCGATGCCGCTTCCAGAGCTTGCAGACGAGAATCAGGGTTGGGAACCGCGGCGACCTGTCGGTGCCCCAGAATCACCTTGCGCGCTTGCATGTGCCGCAATAAATTGTTCAAATCCTATGCAAAAGCCAGAAGAGAGTTTCCTGCCATGAGCCTGACCATGGTGTAACAGAGCAGGAACAAAAATAGAAAGAAGGAAAGAAAGAAAGATAGGCTAAAACCCAAAACAAACCCAAAAACCTTCTCCACCATACGGGCCCCAAAGGTTGCACACATGTTTCGACCAACCTTGGGATGGAGTCCTGCGTCAATGGGTAGCTGAATGACGCGGGCGCGCACGTTGCTAAAGACGCCGACCCGCTCAACAATGTCCACGGTTGGACTGATGCCAATGATGGCGCTATGGGGATTGCCCATAATCATTTCCACGGCAGCCAATCCATCGCCATATCGCAGCGAGGGATCCTCTGCACAGTGAAGGCATCGATGCACAATGTACTCGTGAGTCTTGGTGAGCACGGACCAAGAGCGGTCCTCAACGGCAGACTCACCAACAAAGAACACGGCTGGACCGGTCGGCAGCCGGGAAAACTCGGGGTCCAATACGCTTGAAAACAACTTGATGTGTCCCGACTACACCCAGTCCCGGAGCCATCACTGCGGTGAGCGAACCGCTCCAGAGAAAGCATGTACAAGTTCAAGCCGGTGGGCTGTTACCTGTATAAACTCGTTGTATGGAAATGGGGGCTTGGGCTCGTACACCCGTGACCGCTTGCTCTTGGCCAGCCTGTCCTCAGACATAGACCACGGGCATGAGTCACCAATAGTGAGTCCGGGCACAGCCAGTAGGCATGCACGCTCGGGCCTTGCGGGCGTACCAGGCCGAATAAATGTCGGCGTAGGCCAAGACAGCCTTGGCATAGCGTCCCACCACAACCATGTTCGCCACGACACCACAGTTTTGCAGGTGTGTCATGAGGAGCTCCATCAGGTCCAGGAAAACGCCGTTCAAGTCGACGGGAATAACCACGTGCCCGCCCTGAGACACGGCCTCACCTAGTGTTTCCGTCCCAAACGGTGTTGGCCCGGGATAAGAGGTATCTGCACGAGACAGCGCACGCCAAGGCCCCTCGGGTTGCTCATGTACGGGGCCAAACTTACCGACGGTCATGGCGAGGCGTTGAACTGCCTGATTGGGATCGTGGTCTGCCATTTTCAAATGAGAGCACACCTGTCCTCATTGACAACGTTGAGTGATGAGATGACGTATGGGCAGGTCGCGAGGCATCGGCCGAGACCAACCAGGGTGCCACAGCTGGCGAGCGCTTGCTGAGCAAAGGGTTTGGGGTGTCGACGGTCATTTGGGGCAATATGGCGCAGGAGCCCCACTTGCTCCACGCCGTCGGACAGAATCCATACGGCGCTGCCTGGCAAGGGTGGTATAATGGACATTCCAGCCAGGCGAATAGGGTCAGGGGGCCAGGGGGGGGAGCAAGGATCTTTGGTTGCCCTTGAAAAACGCCTTGACTTTGGCATCAACGATCGCTGTGGGCTTACCAAGCGCATAGCCAGCAGAGACGGCCCAAGCTTGGACGCCCTCGTGCAGCTTGACGTGCTCCCGGTAGCTGACGGAGGTGATGCGGTCAAAGCAATTTTGTACTTCTGTGGGCGTGTAAGCAAAATCATTCCGAGTCCTGCCATACCCAAGAGCCCAAAAGAGAAGCATGAGTGAGCTGGCATAAGCTGGCTGTTGAACAGGTGCTATTCATGTGGTCGTGGAGCTCATGGCCACACCACCCCGCCATGCCGCAGGAGCCCCACGCACTTGCGACGGGCCTCGCGCTCAGCCTTGCCCTGCAGGAGTAGGAGGCCTAGTTGTTTGACGGGATCTGTGGCGTAAATGTCGCCGCAATAGCCGAGCCGCTCGGTGAGGTAAGGTAGGCCCCAGAGACCCTCCTCGCTGCTGACGAAAACGGCATCAATGGCATCTGGTGGCACGACAGAGAAGACATCGTCTAGCAGATTGACGCCCGCCCCACTGCGCGGGGATGACCGGCTCTTTTTGGGCTACACGGGGATGAAGCGGTCAGCCGAGCCTACCCCATCTGGCTGAGGAATACGAGGAGGACATGGGCCGGCACTGCGCGACGTACCAGCGCCTGGATGCCCTGTTCATTCAAGGGTCGGATGGGCTGGTACAGGGGCTGCAGGAGGCAAAGCCAGGTGGAGGTCATCAGAATGACAAAGTCAACCCAAGTGCGGGAAGCAGCGAATCAACCCACGAGCGGCTGACCTGGTCTGGCAGGTGGTGTTCCGGGGGTAGAATGACATCAAACAAGATCAGATTGTGATGCCACTCGAGCATGAACCACGCGCTGTCGGCGCTGTCGTCCAAGCAGGTCTAACGTGAATCATTCACACACCAAGGGCCATGAGCACCAATCACAAACACCAAGCCAGCAAGCACCATCTCCCAAACCACGTACAATCTTCATGATTCACCACCATCGAGGCCCCACCGCCTCTCTTCCACTGCCCCCTCCCCGCCGCCCTCGACAAGAAAATGTAAAAAATAAAGCTCCAGTCCCTCTCTCTCTCTCTCTCTGTGTCTCTGTGTCTCTCTCGCTATCTCTCTGTGTCTGTCTCGCTGGCTCTGCTCTCTCTCTGGCTCTGCTCTCTCTGCTCTCTCTCTCTCTGCTCTCTCTCTGCTCTCTGCAAAGCAATGATACACTGTATTAATCCAAAGTGTAATATTATTCAGTCTATCTCTTATGACTTTTTTTTTTGTTGCCTCTCTCTGTCTCTGTCTCTGTCTCTGTCTCTCTCTCTTTCAGTTCACACACACACACACACACACACACACACACACACACTCTCTCTCTCTCTCTCTCTTTTTCTCTCTCTCTCTCACTCTGTGTCAGTTTGCATGCTCTGGGGGGCACGCTGGACGGGGCGGGGCGGGTAAACTGGTGCAGCGGGCTGGTTGATTGGGTACGTGCTTTGGCTTGGTGCTTGGCTTGGTGATGGGATGAGATGTCGGTTTGTGTGACGGTGTGCGTTGCTCATAGGCATCAAGCAAGTTTCTGCGGCAGGACAGACAGCGCGCACGATGGCAGCTGATAGGGTGGGGGTGCAGGTCTTGCTCTTTGGTGAGGCCCGGGAGCGATGTAACATGCACGAGGTCAAGCTGCAACTACCAGCATCCGCAACGGCCGCCGCCCTCTTGGATGTGATTTGTCGCGAATTGCCTTCGTAAGCCACCACGCGTTCTGTGCTCGTCCTTGCGTGCGGGCACTCATCGCTTGCTGACCGAGCGAGAATTGTGTCGCGTATGCAGGCTACAGGCCATGAAGGATACGTTGGTACTGGCGGTTGATGAAGAGTATGCCGATCCAAAGGCGGATGTGGTGCTTCAAGCGTCGACGGTCCTGGCCATCATCCCACCGCTCTCGGGCGGGTAAGCGCTGGTACCTTCAAGTCCCATTATCGTGTTCAGATTTTAGAATGGAGAGGAGCAGAGCACCATCAATTGCGTTGGTGGGGCAGCGAGGCAGTCGGATCAGTTGGGATCCACCAGTCACCGCCGCTTTGCCTGGTTTTGTATTCGTTCAAACTACTATGATCAGCCTTGAAACTATCGAATTGAGACGCCGCGCGTCACTCTAAGCTTGTGCATGTCGTCAGGTCGGGCCATGTATGGGCCCGCCTGCACGCCGCCCGCCATCTCCATGTCGCATATTGGCTACAAGGGCGCCTGCGTCGGAATCAGGCATGCGCGGCCACAGACAACAAAGGAGCGCGTTCATCGCTCACAGATTGATCCAGCATGGAAGCGTGAGTGTCCTGGAACACCGAGTTGGTAAAGGAGGTCGTCGACTGCATGGCCGTTCGTTGCCCGTCGTGTGGGCGAGGCTCATTGTTGGCTCGCCCCGCCGAACGCTGACCAATGACCACGATACCACGCGCAAAAATTGTCACGTTATACACGACCGACAACAGCATCTGTGTGCGGGGACGAAGGCGGGGGATGTGAGCGAGCGTCTTTATCTCGTTGGTGGCTAGACAAGGGCGAGACATCAGGCAAACTTGGCTAGGTAGTGACGGCACACACCTCGGTGACCACGACCAGGTCCATGTACCATTTGCCGCTATAAATGTCTCCAAACTGAGCAGGCACAACGTGCACGGACAAGGCGGGTGTGGGAGGGTGGAACGTGAGAACATGCATCAACGTCAGCGGGGTTTGTCAGGTGCCCCATGCAGCTTTGGTGTGCGTACCCCGGTGGAAGTCATGGTGGCTACGCTAAAGTAGAGGAGCTTGCAAAAGGAGAGGAAGACGTAGTCATCCCGTGTCACATCTTGAATGCTTTCCTCCATACCGGCAAACGAGGAGTAATCGAGGCGATGGATCAAGGTATACACGCCTATGGAAGGCAAAGCAAAGGAAACACCTCCCGCAAATGAGGATTTGTGGACTGGGCTGCAGCCGCATGAAGAAGGCCCGCGCTAGGGGCCCGAACCGGCATAAAGAAGGACGGTGGAGAGATAGGATTGCACAATAAAGCTGTCACTGGCCGTGTTGTGCATGATCTGTCAGCGGCAGACAAGGCCAAGCGTGAGGACAAGGGCTTCCAGTTGAGGGGCTAAAAGATGTGACAACACGCGAGGTGGCGGTCGCGACCAAATCCCACCTGCTTGGCAAGCTTCACGCTCGCTGCCACCGTCACCACGACTTGCACAGCCTGGAAGAACACCATGATGGCCTATTCCGATCCCCATGACCATGGAAAGTGGGCAGACGGAACAACCCAGCCAGAACAGAGCCGCGCGGTGAAGGTACCGCCAAAGAGCCTGACGGTATGGTATGGTGGGTGACGCGGCGGACACGTACAATGCCGGCCACGAAGGCTGGTTCGTCGGCCGTGGGGTGCTTGAGCGCCTCATCGCTGGACAGATTTTTGTCCACCAAGGTCAGGATGGAGATGTTGAGAATCTAAGGCACACGCCGATTGAGCTCCGGGCCGGTGTTGGCGACATCGCCAAACGAGGAAGCCCGTTGAGCGAGAGGGAGAGAGGGAGAGAGGGAGAGGGGAGGAAAAGCCTTGCAAAACAAGCCCAAAAGAAGCTGATAAACCGCGTACGGTATCCAGAGGAAGACTCCCTCACCTGCCAAATGACGGTCAGGAGAAGGAGACGATTGGTAAAGCGCTGGCTCAGCCAACGCTTCTTCTGGGCCACGGGTTGCTGCTGCTGCACGCTAAAGGCCACATGGCCATTGAGCTCTGGAGGCAGCAAATTCTTGATCATGGACGCTTCGCTCGGTGAATGAGCAGCGGCCACACGCGAGTTCTCCATGGTCTTCAACGGAACCGCATCTACATGCTCCATCCCTCCCTCTGCTCCATCGACCCCCCCTTCCGAACAGCACAGCCCCCCCCCCAAAAAAAAAAATTTAAAAAAATAAAAAAAAAAGTCAACAAGTCGCTGTTGATTGCAAATGGGTCAACCCTTGGGAAAAACCTCTAAAAACTTACACACACACACACACACACACACACACACACACACACACACACACTCACACACACACACACACACACACATACACACACACACACACACACACACACACACACACACACACACACGTAAACTTTTTACAAATGTAAAACTTTAAAATCAAAATCGTAAAAAGTTTAAAACATTCAAACATTTTCATTGGCAGCAAAACTCACTGACTCTTGTTGACTGCGCTTGTTGGACCTGTGCTCGTCGGCTGTTGGCGTCGGTCCTGCTGTTGTGCTGTTGTGAGCGTGCGAGCGCACGTGTGTGTGTATGTGTGTGGGTCATTTGGCTGGTGGGCTTTGCTCGCGACAACTGAGGTATGGCGACCGAACACGAGTTGGCCGATTTGTTGGAGATGCTGGAGAACACGCGCGAGGATCGCTCGCGCATGCGCTTTACCCGCGCCTGGCTCTCTGATCATCAGCTTACCTGCGAACAGGCCGTCAAGGTGAGCCACGCCACGCCATTGACCTCGTGCCCTCTCGCTGCCCAAGCGGCATCGGTGCTTCTTGAGCGCTTCCGGCTCACGCCTGCCTTTGTGTTCAGATCCTCAAGCAGCTTTTTGGCCTCGGCGACGTGCGTCTTCAAACCGCCAAGGTACAGACTATCATCATGACGCCCAGCCTCTTGCCACCCCACCTGACCAGCACCATTCATGCCCGCCTTCATCGCGCGTGTGGCCCATGCCCCTGCTCATAGGAAATCTATCCCAAGCTTGTGGATCCCGAAAACTTTATCAACGTGGTCCTGCCCAACGGCTTTGAGTATGATGATGAGCGGGCCGAGGTCCGCCAAGCTCTGGGCATCTGAAGAGCCAGGTTCTATTCCTGACAAGGCGCGTGTCTAAAGCCTTATCTGCTCCAAATTCCCCAACACCGGCAGCAGCGCCCCAAAGGCCCAGCCGCATTCAAATCAATCAAGCATCAATTACGTCTTTGATGGCCCTTCCCGGCTTGTTGAGCCAATACCCAAAGCAGGGTCGCGGCCTTAGCCTCGCTCGTCTCCTCATTAATCGCCAGTTAGTAAGTCAGGAATCTACATAAATAATAAAATGCGGTCAGATGACACTTGGGTGAGCCATCCGTTCATGCCAGGAGCACACGAGCTCACGCAAGCCTTACCGCAGCATTGGGCTGGCTGCCAGCATGTGGTTGCATTTGTTGTTGCTGCATTTGTTGCTGTTGAACAAAGGGATTGTATGGCGAAGAGGCACCATACTGTTGAGGTGGGGGGTTGCCTGCAGAATTTACTTGCCATGACTGTGCAAAAGGATTCGTCAAACTTGTCCATGAGGTGGGCACCGAGACCCCAGAGCCGCCACCATACCCTGATTGTGGGGGCTCCTGATTCTGGGGCTGATACTGGGGCTGGGGCTGATAACCGGACTGCATACTGTACTGGGGCTGATGTTGTGACTGTTGCGGCACATATTGGGAAGGCTGGGATAGTGATTGTTGTTGTGGCGGCAGTTGTGGCTCAGGATGCGGTGTCACCTGTTGCGAAGGCTGGGCGCCTCCAAAGAGATCCTGAAGGTCCTCTACCGCTGAGCGTGAAGGTCGAGGGACAGCTCCAAAGGCAGATAGGTCCAATGCGCCGGCAGGGGTTCGTGCTTGGCCTTGCTCCTGCCGCTCAAATTGAGGCTGACTTGATTGTGGGTTTGGCTGTAAAGGCTGTGAAGGCTGTTGGTACTGAAGCTGGTCTTGAGGCGGATACTGTTGTTGCTGATACTGTTGTTGTTGCTGTTGTTGTTGAGGCTGGTACTGGTGTTGCTGCGGTTGTTGAGGCTGGTACTGGTACTGCTGCTGCGGCTGAGATTGGCTTGGTTGTGGTTGTGGTTGTGGTTGGTACTGTTGCTGCTGTTGCTGCTGTTGGGGCTGGTACTGTTGCGGTTGCTGTTGTGGTGGTTGCTGTTGTGCTTGATACTGGTGTGAGTATGGCTGCGGTTGCTGCTGTTGTGGCTGGTATTGTTGCTGCGGTTGGTGTTGGTAAGGCTGGTATTGTTGCTGCGGTTGGTGTTGGTGGGGCATGGGCCTCGATGGCGAAGGTTGATACAGTCCCATTGCCTTTGAGTCTGGGGCGGGTGCGGCATGCACAAATTGCTGTGGTGAGGCCACGTGCGTTTGCGCTTGCATTTGCGCTTGCATTTGCTGTTGCTGTTGCTGCTGCGGTGGCTGTTGCTGCTGCTGCTGCTGGTGGTGCCTCCACCCATCATTGGATGCCGATGGCCGACGATCATCAAAGCTCCCAGCACTGGATGCTGCACTGGTTGGACGAGGACTGGAGCGCGAAAACGGGTTTGTCACCCGCCTTACTGCCGGCTGTGGCGGCGCAGATTGCAGTGGCACTGGTGCTGACACTGGTGCAGCCTGAGTGGACGGGTCGACTTGCCATAGCTGACCCAGGTCCAAGTCGCTTTCCGTGGGTTGAGTTGCTGCAGACTCTTGGGCATTCCAGCTTGATGGGTCATGTGATGCTGTCATAGCCGGGGGTGGACCGTCTCGTGCTGGTGCACTTTGAGCACGTGACGGTCCCAACCCGGCCTCGCTGGCACCCATCGGTGGCATTGCCTCAATTTGCGCTAGCAGATCCCCGAGGGGTAGAACGCTGGCTGATGATGACATTGAGTCACCAACCCCAGAAGCCATGGCCACGGGTGGAGCTGGTTGCGACGTGGGACCTCGCCCCATTCCGTCAGGACTGTCCAGGGAACCGTCGCCGCTGGAGGCTGGTCGTGCCTTATTGCGGCGCAGGCGTGCCAGGCCCGAGGATATGGAGGCCGAGGCCCGCCTCGTCAGGTTGGCAAGATTGCTGTTCGTGGGCGATGGTGATTTGGTCCCTTCTTCGGGGATGACGGGAATCAGCGTCCTTTGCCGGCGTCGAAACTGCTGCCCGTACTTATCATTGTAACGTCGAGCCGCCTCCAAGCTAGCCAGGTAGCAAAACTTGTACTGGTCCACAGTTTGCACCATGAAGCGACGATCCTCCCGCATGCGCGAAACAATGTTCATAATGTCCAGTTTGCCACCCTGGCTCTCACGAGTTGGTCGCTGTGCTCCCGACTCCCGGGCCGCCAGTAAAGGCAGGCCATTGCCGACGTAAGGCAAGGCGGCCACTACACCATACACGCAGCAGAAAGTTCCTGTGCGCCCGACCCCGGCACTGCAGTGGACCACGAGCGGGGACTGTGGCTCACCCGCTGTTTGCGATTGCCGTTGCACCTGTGTGGCGGTCAGCACAGGTTCGCATGAGCTCGAGCTACGACTCAGAAATACTCGAATCGGGACAACCAGCAAGTGAGCAAAAGCAGACGCGCAGTGAACAAACCGCGTCATGGTGCTGTTTGACGGCCAACAAAAACTCGAGAAAAGTCTCTGGCGAGGCGGGCACGCCGTGATCGGGCCAGCTGGTGTAATGAAACTGCTTCACATGCCGGACCATCTTGGTGTGATCTGGCCGCAGCGTCTCCACGATCAGGTCTCGTTCAATCCATGGACCCGTTTCCCGCTCCTCCTTTAAAGTCACATCGAGCGCCAAGCCCAGGGCCGTTTCAGGGTGTGACACCGTTTCTCCGCATCGCGCGGGCCAGTAGCGGTCACACTTGGGCCGCCCGCGCTCCTCCAGATTGGTCACCATCACAATAACGCGGGAACGTTGCTGTACCACCATCTTCCAAAAGTCACCGCTGGTTGAGTGCTTGGGACCCTGGGCGCAGACAAAGTCTGGGCATCCCGATGTGAGGGAGCGCACGTGGCACGCGTTGATGTAGTCATCAGTCGAACCATATCCGGGGAGCACCTGCATATGCACTCGGGTTCGATCATCTGAAAGCACGAAAAAAACAAAAAAACACGTGGTGTGAGCGACAACAAATATTATAGGGTCCATGTCGTGCTAGCTGGCGACGTGTGTGCATTCAGGGTGGGCAACTTACATGGAAGAATGTCACGGTAGCGGTTACGGTCAACATTGCGCTCAGCGGCCGCGCAACTGGTGTCACGATTGTGAGCAGCATCTTCCATCTCCAACAACGCAAATTCCTTGTCAAAGCCACTTTTCCCGTCTGGATACGCTTGTTGCAGGTGTGCAACCGTTTCACTCAAGGCGCGAATTGCCACATCCAGATTGGATTCGCCAGCCTCCTCGCCGTTTGAGGCAATCATTATGCTGGCCACTTCATTTTGAAAGTCAGTGTCCAAAGCAATGCTCTGGCGCTTGGCTTCGCGCAGGGCGGCGGCTGATGCATCGCTGCCCGAAGCCGACGCAGGGCGGCTTGTGTGAGCGCTGCCGTTACCAGCAGCAGGGGCAGATGCGTTGCTCCAGGAGCTACGTTGCCCAGCCTGGGCCTGCGGAGTTGCGGGGGGAGGCTTGGACGGCCGGCGCTGCCCTTGACTCGCGGCCGCTGTCTGGGCCTGCTCAAGCTGCTGCGACTGCTGTTCAAAGGCGCGCAGGCGACTCTCAAAGGCCGTTTCAAAATCCGTCAGCTTATGGACGCGATCCTGCACTGCACGAAAGGCATCAAAGGCGCCCAGGAGACCTTCAATAAAGGCACGTTGCTGGTCCTGCACTTCTTTGATGTGCTTGCGTGCCTTGCCTTGGCTGGCGTACACCTCGACTAGGACAGGCAGGAGACGGCGTTGCGAGTCAAAGTTTGATTGCAGCTGGTCGCGGAGCTCGTCGAGGGGTTGAAGGGCTTCGCGCATGAGTGCGTCCTGGTCGGGGCAGGTGAGAATTTGATGACCGATATCAATCTTTTCAGCTTCGCGGCGAAATTCGTCCCACTTGTCCTGACGCAGCTGGCGCATTATTTGGACCTTGCCCAAAAGTTCCTCGATCCGCTTGGCTTTGTCAGCATCAAGTGTGCCAACGTCAAGATCCATCAGGCTGGCCTTGGGCATGGCAGCTCGCAAATCGTCGTGGGGCGAGGCGAGGAGCTGCAGGCGCGGTTCAATGGCTTCCAACTTATCGCGTGCCAAACGCACGGCTTGCTGTGCCTGCTGGAGACTACTTTTCATATCATCGTGTTCCTGACGCAATCGATCAGACGCCATCTTCCTGGCACTCTCAAATTTTGCGGCAGCTGCTTCGAAACGCTCCTGGAATCCGGCGAGGTGCTCTTGGGCCTGTTCAAGTCGCTGAGCGGCTTCCGACTGTATGCGCCAATGCATGCAACCAAGGGCAGGGAAAGAGGCGATTTGTGAGCAGGAGAGAATACAACTCGAGAGCATCAACGTTGTCATCCTCGCGCAATCTCAAGCAGGGACGGCATATGTGTTGTCGTGGCGAGGGGTGGATATATCAAAGGCATGTGCAGGGTCAACGCACCGGGGGCAGTTGAGAGCTATCACGTAGCATGGCTCCTTTGGAAAAAATGTCTGCGGGCAGATTCGTCATGGTATCGAGCGGATCGTCCTTGGCTCGCAACGCCATCGAATCCAGGGCATGCTGAAGCTCGTCGTTCTGCTGTTCAACCTGTTGAGCTACGTTGCGTACCAGGGTCGCCTTTTGTTCCGAAAAGGTCGAGATGGCCAAATGGACATCAAGGGGCATCAGACGATGCAGGATGTCCACGGCACTGGGATCAGGTTCAAAGGGCTTGAAGGCAAAGAGATCGGCCGCTACAATCTCGGACAATGCGGCATCGCTGGGCACGGTTTCGTGAAAGATTGTGTTGTTGTCTGTTTCGGCCTTGGTCAGGCGCTCTGTCACTAGGTTTAGGGTGTGTTGTATGGCAGCCACATCAACCGCATTTTTGACGGCCTTGGCTGTCTCGATGGCCGCTTGTAGCACATCGCGGGCGGCACGCAGGCGGCCAACTTCCTCGCCCCATTCGCTTGCCTTGTTGGCGGCTTGGCCTTGATAAAATTGGGCTAGACCACGGGCATGCATCGACTTTAATTGAACGCAAAGCTGCCAAAGGTGCCACGGGTGGTCTTTATTGGTCTCGATCTGTGGTGGCAGTATGTGAGACCAAACATTCATTAGCTACAACAGCACATCGGCAGCGGCGTGCGAGGGGTGCGAGGGGGTGCGAGGGGAACGTACCGAGTAGAGGGCCTTGTGAGCGGCATCAAATTCATTGGCAACGCGGATGGCAATCCGGGCGATGGTGGTAGCCTTCATGTTTGAGTGCAGGGCCTTGTAGAGGGAGCACTGGTAGGATTGGGCCGTGTACACGTGTAGGAGCACATCCAGGGCTGCGGCGTGCATGTCATGGCTGGGGGTGTCACCAAGCTCCTGCTGCTGAACGGCCATGATAGCGGCAACGCTGAGTTGTTGCATCTGGAGGCAGGTTTTGAGGGTATCGTCGGAGCTGTCAGCACCAGCAAACTCTAGACTGGCCAGGCGCCCGGCCGCGCCGGCAATGTTAAAGAGCACGCTTCCATATTCATGAGCCAGGGCATGGCTGCTGACAAAAGACTTTGTAAAGGTATCAAGCCAGCTAAAGTCGAGCTGAGGGGTGGTGCTGCCAGCGTAGAAGCGACTTTTGGCAAAGTGTAGCTGTGCCGCGTAGAGACGAGCGTTGGCCAGGTACTGCTGATCCACGTGGCCGGTGTGCAGCGTCTGAACTCGATATAAAAGAGGCAAGGGGGCAAGTTGAAGTGCAGTGAGTATCGAATGAGCTGAGAGCCAGGCGTAATCCAGCCAGGAGTAATCCAGCCGCGAAAAGATGGGGGCAAAGCCTTACGGCGCGCAGGTTGCGCAGTTGCTGAAGCTCGACGCGGTAGTCCTCGCCGGGCTGCTCCAGCGTCTGGCTGATAAACTTTGGGTGGTGCAGCAAGTGGGGCGGGTGAGGGGGAACAAATGCGGCCTTGCATCGGGCGGAGTGATTCTGGGGGCGGCGGCGCACACGACGCTACCTTGATCAGGGTGTCTTCGATCGCACACGGCTGGGCCGTCTTGACTGAGGCAGCCAAGAAGCGATCGACGCTCAAGGATCCACTGCGCCCAAGCAGGCAGAGGCCCATCAGGTGCGGTGAATGTGGGCTGACGAACATGAACCGTGATGGTCTCCAGTGGCCGCTGTCTGTCGGGGTGGAGGCCAGCGGCAGGCAAAGCACGTACGTGGCAGCCATTGCGACGGGAGGGGCCCGCCCCAAGTGCGAGCGTGGTCAATGAGAGCAAATTGCCAACTGGTCCTGATCCGTTGCTTTACGCCAATTACCCCAAAGGTCTTGCTGCAAATGCTGCCTGTGGCCGATCGACGCCCGGTTGAATCCGATTCAGGCGTTGCAGCCAACTGCGGCCAACGCACACAAGCAGGAGCCATGCATGAACCAGAGCTATGTCTATATCCCTGCGTGTCGCCTTGCCTGCACCCGTCGCACAAAATAGCATTTCAATCACTAAAAACCAACAGCAGCACCACCATCACCCAGTGCTTGACAGTTACCTATCGCCACTGCCAGGGTCGGGTCGGGTTGCTGCTGTGGCTTGCTGTTGTCGCTGCCAAAGTGCCGTCGAACCGCGTTACGTGTGTGTGTGTGTGTGTGTGACAACAAAATGCTGACATTTGAAGATGCTAAACAGCTGTTGAGTTGGTATGTTCACTCGGGGGATATCGGAGTGTCGTTTTTATATTGGTGAACGCTGGTTAATGGGCTGAAAATAATACAGGTTATGACTATATGCTCTGCCGCCCTTTGCTGGTCGCCCCCATTGCCCTCTCTGACGCTTGAGGCTAGAGTTGGTGTACTCTCTACCTTTGACAACTACCTCGATTATTTCTCTGACTTTACCTTGTATGCCAATTGTAATTGTCTCCTGGATCTAGAACCATCTCTGGATTCTATACAGCCTCATCCCTCATCTCTTCTCAAACACCCCAAGTACACCCCTGTCTCTTTCCTCTCCATCAACCCTCTCATCTTCTTTTGTCCCAATGTAAAAGTGTTGCTTTTATCACTCTCACCTGGTAAGCCCGAGAGAGAGAAGTGAGAGAGAGAAGAGAGAGAGAGAGAGAGAGAGAGAGCACACACATGGCGTGTGTGTGTGTGTGAGCGTTCATGTGTGTGTGTGTGTGATATGGCAGCGCCACTGGCGGCGGGTTTTGTTGCTTTTGCTGTTGTGGAAGCATTGTTCAACGCGTTCTCATGAGTCGGGTTGTGCGTGTAAGGGGTTGGGTTGTTGTCGGGATGGTGGTGACCCCGGGTTGCTTCTTGACGGCGCCAAGTTTGGAATGAACACATGCGCACGCTCTCTCTCTCTCTCTTCTCGCGCGCAGTCGAACGTTACACTCGGGGTTATCGTCGTAAACCTCGGGCCTGCTGGCGTGATGGTTTGCCGGGTGTATGCCGCACCATTCCTCTGTGTGTGTGTGTGTGTGTGAGTGTGTGTGTGTATCGGGCCTTGTTGCGTTGCTTGCTTTTTCTCTGATGGGGGCCGCCGTGCAGCGAATGGTTTTTTGTTCTGACTCGCAGTGTCGCGGTCTCTTTGTTTGGCCCAGACCTCTCCTCTTTGCTCTGGTCACACACATCCAAGCATTCACCGACTCAGCTTGCACTCACCGATACACAGAGTCGTTTGCGTCCCTCTCATCTTCCTTTTCCTTGGCTCGCTCGATAGACACCGACATCATGACGGAGGAAGATTTGAACTTCGACCCGACTCTGAAGAAGAAGAAGAAGAAAAAAAAAATCTTGGCGTCGTTTGACGATGGTACGTGCCCTTTGTGGTGCCCTGCTCAACTCATCTGTTCAAGCTTGATGTCGACACTCACAATGTCTCCATCCTTGCTGTGGCCCCCATTTCTCGTGCGGCCCGTACTCCAGAGGTCACCGAATCATCGACGGATGCTCCCGAGCCCGTGAGCGCGGCAGCCATTGACGAGAATGAGGAAGAGGATGATCTGCCCAAGCCCACCAAGGTTGCAGTTGTGCACTCGGAGGACCTGGACAAGCCCGTCAGCGAAGAACTCGTCACCATGCTGATCAGCAATGACATCGACTACAGTGCGTCACATGATTGCTTTTGACTCCTGTCGTTGCTCGACGCTGCTCGAGGTCGAGCTGCGCAGCCCCTTTTCCGAAAAAACTCACGAGTCTTACGGTGGCCCTTTTTCCCCCCTTTTTTTTTTCTCCAGGTGCATTGAAGAAGCGCGCCAAGCGCTCCACCGATGCGCTCGAAGAGCCTGGTGCGTATCTACAAAGGAATTTTCCGACTTTCCCCTCCTCCCTCTCTTCCTTTTTTTTTTATGCCCTGGGTTTCGGGCACTGCACGCGTCAGCACCTCGCCTCATGTCCTTGTTCGTTTCCCCCACGGTGCACTTGGTCGTGCGTTTAGATTCTCTCGACTTTTCCAAGAAGAAGAAAAAGAAAAAGAAAACGGCCAAGGCTGTCGATCAGGCACCGCTCGAGGGTGATGCTGTTACATCCACGGCTGATGATGGGGATGAGGGCACAGTTCATCCCTACAGCGTTCTTCTTGATCGCGTCTTTGCCATTATCAAGGAAAAGAATCCTGAGCTCATCTCGGGTGAGAAGAAGAAGTTTACCATGAAGCCGCCGCAAGTCGTGCGCCTTGGTGCTAAGAAGACTGGCTTTGTCAACATTACCGACATTTGCAAATTGTACGTTGGTTCGCAGTGGCGTTTACGTTTGTTTCCTTGGTGGCCCCGTTCCATGGACGATTGAGCGCGCTTTTGCATTCCTGCCCGATGCACGTCTTGTGTTTCCCTTGGCTTGTATGCCAAATTTCACTTCCCTTTCTCGCTGTTCCGCGTCATCGTTTGCAGGCTGCATCGTCAACAGGACCATATGCTCGCCTTCTTGTTCGCGGAATTGGGTACCAGCGGTTCCGTTGATGCGAGCAACTGCCTCGTCATCAAGGGCCGTTTCCAACAGAAGCAGATTGAAAGCATTCTCAGGAAGTACATCCGTGAATACGTCACGTGCCACACCTGCCGCTCTCCCAACACCATCCTCGCCAAGTACAACCGTCTTTATTTCTTGACTTGCGAGGTACGGTACCCCTCGCCACGTGGCTGCAGCCCCCCGGTTTGCTCGAGCCAGAAAACGCTTCCATTCACACTGGTGCTCGCCTTAGGCTTGTGGCTCTCGTCAATCGGTTGCCAACATCAACAGCGGTTTCCAGGCCGTGACTGGCCGCCGTGCTGCGCTGCGTGCCAAGGCACAGTAAACCGACCCGCGTGCTCGTTTCTCGTCCTTTGCCGTCCGCTTCTTTTCCCAAAAGGCCTAAATTTGACCCAACAAACTTTCCTTCCTTTTGGCCGCCAAGCCACACCTCTGACAAGCATGGAAAAATGACATTATCTGTGCCTTGTAAACTCACACCATTGTCGTCGTCATTACATACATGCTAAATTATTGCACGCCCCTCTCCCCTCAAAAAGAGAAGGAAAGCAACAAAAGTGAGGCACGGCCATTACACGGGTAACAGCACAGGCTAGCGCATCATAAACACACTCGTGTGTGGGATGTTAAGCACAAAATAGCACGGTCCGATCGCTTATAGCCGAGTCAGCTGTGTGTGGCATGAACATGCGCCGAGATGAGTCGGTTGCGTGAGTTGGTCGACATACAAAGGTATTGCAACCAAGACATTCAACGGGACCTGTAAGAAGGCACAACGTACCGACTCGTTGGCGCTCGATAACGCGGGGGGCTCGATAAGGGTATTGCCGACGGCACCACCTTTGTCCGTCGTCAGAAGCATCGAGAGAGCCTCCAGGTTGGTCCCTGAGCGCTGAAAAGGCTTATGTGATAGCCCTGCTGTGGCAAAAGACAACTGCTCCTTCTCTTGACAAGTTTGCTCAATGCCAAGAGAAGGAGTGGTGGTGGTGGGCGTATCCTCACTCGCGCTAGTTTGGGAGGCTGATGTTGATGCTGATGCTTGCAGGGCCGAGTCAACGGCAGCAATGTCATCTGCAATTGTTGGGGTGGAGAAGCTCGGCGCGAACCCACTTCGCTGCGCTGTCGCAACCATGGCCGCAACGGCCATGTCCTTGTTCTGCAGCGAGGCTGGCAGGCTAGGTGTCGGAGTTGCCGTTGGCCGAGGCATACCTTCTGGAAGCTGAAGGGCGGCAGCGGTAGAGGTCTGTTGTGGACCGCCTGGTGAGGACGTGGGGCGACTGCTCAATTGATTGAGCACCGTGGCGGCATTCCAAGCCGCTGCCTGATCATTGTCCGAGGTCAGATCGCCCTCGGCATGATGCTGATGACCCAGGGTGGGGCGAGCGCCGGTGGAAATGGCCAGGCTACCCCCAGTCATGGGAGGACGAGGGTGGGTGAGCTCATTTATCGGGATCGTTATTGGCTTACTGCCAACAGTCGTGGCAGGCTTGAGGCCTGGTCCAGATTGACCTGGGCCGGGTAACTGGGCCGTGTCTTGCGCTGCCCTGCTGTGATCACCTGTGTGGTCCCCTGTGTGCTCGCTTTGGCGCAACAACTCGGCCGCAACCAGCAACTGAGATTGCAGGGCGGGGTTTGGCGAGCTGTCCGATTGGGATGAGTGAACGGTGGTCCACGGCATGGGGTGGTCACGGTTGTCTAGGCTCTCGTCAAGTTTTGAAGGTGGTGCGACTCCAAAAGTCTCGCTAAAGGTTGCTTCGAGCAGAGCGCTCACGCGCAACACTTGTTCGTCCGTGTCGCTACCATAATATAAATGACGGCGGCGCACTTGCTCAGCCAGCTGGCCCACACGAGCGAGAATGCGGTGCCACTTGTTCATGGCGAGGTTGCGCCGTTTTTCCAAGTCCATGTCCGCAATCTTTTGCGCGTCCATCAGACCTGATGTCAAGTCGTAGCATTGCGTTGGCAATGGAGGCACCAACCAGGGGGATGAGCGACATGATGAGCAAAAAGGCAGCACATGGTCGAGGCAGGTGCGTGTACGTACTTTGGCGGTCACGCTGGCGCTGTTTGTTGTTGCCAAAGTGAATGGGTCGATCGCCGACACCGGTGAGCAAAACTTCTTGCGAGTTTGAATCCATCACGCGAACGTGGGTTTTGACCAGATTGCGGGTGAGCACACCGGTGGAGTGCTGAAGTGTTAGCTTGATGTAGCGTCGGGCGGAGCGGGTGAGGTTCATCGTGCCTTCGGCTACGAGTTCATTTGACTCATTGCGCAGCTCGATGGTCACGGCATAGCCACTGCGGCGCGCGCGTTTTGAGGGCGGCACCCCGGAGGAGGAGGACGGCGGTGCCAAGATCGGGGCATCGTATCCGCCTTTGGGCGCAGGAACCTCGTTGACCAAGTGAGGAAGGAAGGCTTCATCTTTCACTGGAAGTCAGCGGAAGAACGGTGCGGGCAATGGGGCAAGGAACGCATGTGTGTGTATGAGAAGAGTGATACACAAGCGCTGAAAAGGCCTTGAATGATCGGTGGTATGGTGAACACGGAGGCTGTGCGGCACGCAGGGAGGAAGACCGGGTGTTCGCACCGTTTGCTGGTGTGGAGGTGGTGGGCAGGGACATGAAGAGGTGGTCAGGGACAATGTCATTGCTCGAGACTGAGGTTGTGGTTGGGATCGCTGGGTGGGCTCCTGAGGGCAGCTCGAGGCTTGAACGTGACACCATCATCGTAGGATCGACGATCCGTAGCTCAACCTCCCACCGTGTGTAGCCTCGATCATAAAAGCACTGTGAAAAAGGGGAGCGGGGATCGGGTGGAACGTGAGTCGAGTTTGCACGAAAAGGAGGCAAGTCCAAAAGAAGCATCTTGGTGCAAGGGCCGGGCGATGCAAGGGTGGAGATTGAGAGCTTGGCAGATTCAGTGTTGTACCTTGGGATAGATCTTGAGGTCAAAGTCCGCTCCCCTAAGGGTGTGGTGTGCACGCAAGGTTGGAGTACGGTCCAAGGGTGAGCCACGGCGATGGAGTGGGACAAGGCATGGCGGGTTGGATCGCGAGGCATGCTTCGGGGTACACACTGGAAGACAAAGGGGTGAAATTTGGGAGGAATCAGGTCCACCATGGAGGAGGCAATGCCGGCGCGGGCCATGGCCACGGGTGCCCGCGCTTGCCGAGAGGCCGGCAAACAACAATGTCCGCAGCGCTATCCCGATTCGCGCACGACGACGCACGCGCCAGCGATGTGCGCAACAGATGAGATGTCGGGTCAGCCGCCAGCGGCCCGCGGCCAGCAGGTACAATCGTCTCCCGTTGCGCCCCGCCCGGACTTTGTGATGATGAGGCCAACGCCCGGGGTCAAGCTTGCGCGAGCAGATCCACGAGATGCGCACTCGTGCGTTCAAACTCGCCGAGTCTAGTTGGTCGATGGCAACCTCAAAACAAAGTCT